TTCAATAATAGTATGGACTGTGACTTAACCTCTGATTTACAATATAACAAGTGGGCCTAAAATTATATATGGACCTCTAGCAGTCAAGTAAATGAAGACTAGAGCCTGCTGTAAGAACAATTTTGTATTTCAGAAGAAAAACAGCAGCACCAAAAGGCCAGGTATTTCCCTAAAGAGAAATTGGAACATATTCTTAGCTTATACCTTTGCATTTTGCAATATTCACTGACTTAGCAGGGCAGGATGCATGAGATACTTCACTGAGTGAGACCCAGAATTTTCCCATTAACACAACAAGTAATGCAGCACTTGGTTACTCTGACAGTCTCAATATCACCACGAACTGGCAAAGAAGGTTGTGATATTGTTTTCTTGCAAGGAATTTTCAAGTTAAGAATAGGTGGGACTGACCAAACAACCTGCACAATAAACAGGAAAAAGCTATTAAGAAACTCAATCTATTCTAATACTTCTCAAGAACAGAGAGTGCTTATTTAATATTTTATAGTAAACAGTTTTGAAAAATGTCAAACTATCTCGAAACCGAGATATTATAACAACAATACTAAATTTGCAGAGTGAAAACCATCAAAATCTACAAATACACAGGACAAATGTTGACCTCAGATTAAGCAAATTTAATCCTTTTGCAAGCAGTGATGAATACACTAATAGCACTTCTGGAATGACATTATTATCTCACTGAAATCAGCTATAGGAGTTCTATTAACTGCAATAGATCCAAGGTTTCATTCCTGAGCTGTGAGGTGATGAAACAAAATGAATCAGATGTTGGAGAAGGTTGCCAGATATTGCTGATCAACAGCACAGGTGTTGTTTTAATATAAAAATTACATCGGTCTGGATGAAATAGAAGCATTAGATCAGAAATTATACTAAATGCAATAAAACAGATCAATGCATTAGTAAATTTCAAAATGTGTTCAAACAACAACAAAGACCACAGTAAAAAACAGCTTTGAGTTGGAAATTAAACTGTGGCCTTACTGGGGTCCTTTGCAGACTCAGTGATTGTGTGACATCCCCCCAGAGCTTGGGACTGTGCTCTGTTCTTCATGCACTGCCTCTCACTATGCTTTTGATAAGTACCAACCCAGCCTTCCCCCAAACCATGCACATCCCTGATGTCAGTCCCATCTACTGCACAGCCATGTCTAACAAGGTGCTTGCATGGGAAAACCTCTAAATCCTATTATCATACTAAGGAGATATCCAAACTTCTGGTTTTCCTCAGTTTTTCTTAAACAAGAGATGTGTAGAAGAATTGCGCAACAGAGATACTTCTGTCTTGTAAATATGCATGGCGGAAACTTCGAAACTTCTTTTGCATTTGTACTCTTTACTGTTATTTTTTAACCTCATTAAAAGGAGAAAAGACAGAAACTTTTGAGGCATTCAGCATTTTGCAGCTATTTCCCATGTCTTGATTTTATGAAAGCTGAGACCCAGTTCTTCTGGTACATAAGCAGCAGGTAATTCTGGAGGCTGAATTACTATTTCTGAGAAGCATGCACTATGGCTTAATCTTTGCTTGATTCACGAACAGAAACAGAGAGTGGAAATAACAGAGTTAACATTCTTCTTCTATGTTAAGACAGAAGATGAAAAACCTCTGTTTTCCAGTTTATCTTCCAGATCCCAAGGGTAAGAATGCATAAACAGAGAGGAACATTTGTTTTGTTAACAAAGCCCAACAGACCACCAGATAACAATTTTAAATATTGCACTGTAAATAAAAGATGTAATTTAAGATGCTGTTTTATGTGCATTATAAAGTAAGTCTGGAAAAAACCTGCAGCCAGAGTAGCTGCAGAGCTCTAGCGGCATTTTCACACATAGGTCATGTAACTCCACCTTTTGAAGCCAATTTCAATCAGGCAAACCTGCTCTGAGGTGCTTTTCTAGAGCACTTTCTACTTGTTTCTTCTTCAGGCAGTGATGGTATTAAAAGTCATGTGGGTTTTGGTGTTGGCAAGAGCGGTGTGGAAAAAAGTATGTAGGAATGATGGTGGCAGGCCTGGAGGAGGGGCAGGCAGCTGAAGTGGAGGGTGGGGGCTCCAAGGCAGAACCTGAACCTAAATTACTCAGAGGGCCTCCCCAGCCTTCCCAGTCCACAGTCCTTCCTTCATGGCTCGGCTGAACTACAGGTATTCACCAAAGAAATTATGTGATCCACAAGTATTACTATGAAGAGCTGATTTTGAATGCAAACCATTTAAGTCCTCTCAATGTATTTATTATCAGGACATATTTTTGAAATGGGTTATTATGTCCCTATATATGTTCTTAGCATACCTACACCAGATTTTGCAAGAGAGAAAAAATGTGTTAGTCCTTCTGACTAAATTTTTCTCACCTGTACTCCAACTTTGCATGAATACAAACATATCTCTTACAGGAGAATTCTTCAGAAGCAGATTTAGGACACAGAAATCATCAAGTTTTGGATGGATTTAACTGTCTAACTGTTTTTTCTTACTTGTTTTTTTGTTACTGGTACATTCAAATACCCCAGGATGCACCATCTGCTTGAAAGTATGGTACTAATGAAAAGGCCCACAGTGACAACACTGTATCTGACAAAAAGTGTTAGCAAGGAGGATGGGAAACAACTCATGTTCCTGCCTACTAATAAATAATAGCTCTTATTTCTCATTCAGGTTTTGCAGGAGCTCAGTCTCTCTCAACTTTTCACAGAATTGTAGAATTGTTGGAAGAGTTGGAAGAAACGTCTGGAGATCATCTAGTCCAGACCCCCTCCCAAAGCAGGGTCACCTAAAGCAGGTGACACAGGAACTCATCCAGGTGGATTTTGAATGTCTCCACAGAGGGAGATTCTATAACTCCCCTGTTCCAGTGCTCGGTGACCCTTAATATAAAAAAGTTCTTCATGTTGAGATGGAACTTCTTGTGTTTGAGTTTATGGCCACTGCTCCTTGTCCTGTCTCTGGGCACCATTGAAAAATTTGGCACCATCCTCTTGACACCCACCTTTGAGACACTTACATGAGATCCCTTCTGTCTTCTCTTCTCTACACTAAACAGGTCCATTTATTCCCTGTTAATATTCCTAAGACTTAATGTAATGACAGTTTTCCAACTTTAATGGTTTTGGCTGTTTTCAAGGCCAGAAGGTCAGGCCATCCATGACAGTGCCCAGGACTGGACCCAGCCATCCCAATGTTGAGTCTCTCGATGCTTCTTTCCGGTACCCTCAAGAATATCACTTTTACATCCAGAACTTCACAGCTCTCTCTCTCTGAACACAGTAGTTCCACCACAGAGACAAGCCGCGTTTGAGTACTCCTTCATCCTTGCTGAGCCTATGTCTGGTTGTCTTTTCGGTCTGGTTATTAATCTCAACTACAGAGATGCAAGTGGCAATGTTTTTCAAGATGCTGTCTTCAATCAAACTGTTACAATTTTTGAAAATTTTATTTTTAAACGAGGGTACATGGCAGCATCTGGGAACTGCCTCACCCATGAACAGCACTGACCCGTGTCTGAGCCACCAGCGCTGCCAGGACCCACCACCCAGGTTCACTCTCCCTTCTCCAGTTTAGAGGGAAAGGCCGGTCAAGCCAATGCCCCTGAGGCCCGAGGGAAGGGCGCCCGGTGTCCCCCCCAAGACTACAACTCCCAGCAGGTCCCGCTACTACCGCGGGGCATGCCGGGTGCTGTAGTTCTCCCGGCGCGGCTGCCCGAAGCGCCGAGCCAGCGGCACCCTGCCCGCTCCATCCCGAACTGTGTGTGTGTGCTTGGGAAGGCGAGGAGCGGGGATGATGATTCTCCCCGCTCCGCCGCAGCCACCGCTGCTTGTGGGGACTGGACCGGCATAAGATGCAGTGCCGGGGAAGCCAGACTGGATCGATGAGCCGAGACCAATGGTGTGAGGTTCAACAAGACCTAGTGCCAGGTCCTGCGCTTGTGTCACACCAACCCCTGCAGCGCTACAGGCTGCTGGAAGACTGGCTGGAAAAAGTGCTCAGCAGAAAGGGGTCTAGGGATGCTGGTCAGCAGCAGCTGAACATGAGCCAGCGTGTGACTAGGTGGCCAAGAAGGTCAATGGCATTCGGGCCTTTATCAGGCATCATGTGGCAGCAGGACCAGGACAATGATTTCCCCCCTATATATAGCACTGGTGAGACTGCACTTGAGAACTGTGTCCAATTCTGGGCCACTCAATTCAGGAAAGACATTCAGGTGCTGGAGTATGTCCAGATAAAGGCAATGAAGCTGGTGAAGGGTCTGGAGCACATGTCCTGTGAGGAGCAGCCGAGGGAGCTGAGAGTGTTTAGCCTGGAGGAGAGGCGGCTCGGGGCGGTCCGTGTCTCCCTCTACAAGTGCCTGACAGGAGGTTTTGGCCAAGTAGGGGTCAGTCTCCCAGGGAATTAGCAATAGGATGACAGTACAAAACCTCAGCTTCCACCAGGAGAGCTTTAGGTTGGACATTAGGACTAATTTATTCACAGAAAGAGTGATTAGGTATTGGAATGTGATGCCTAGGGGGGTGGTGGAGTCACGGTCCCTGGAGGTGTTTAAAGAAAGACTGGACGTGGCACTGAGTGCTGTGCTCTGCCTTACAGGGTGCTGTCCTGTCACAGGTTGGACCCCATGATCTCCAACCCAACTGATTCTGGGATTCTGACTCGCTCTACCCGCCAGAGTGGAAGGGAATTGCGCGTGGGTGTGTGCGTTCGCCCCTGTGTTTCCACGTCCCTCTGTGTCCCGCTGTCCGTGTGTGTGGGACGACCCCGCGGCACCCGGGCGCATGCGCACAAGGAAGGCCGGGGGGGGGCGCGCCGCCGCCGTCGTGCCCGCGCAGGGGGCGGTGCTGCCGGGGCTGGGAGGGCGCGGGGCCGCGCTCGGGGGCGCGCAGCAGCAGCGGCAGTGCCCGCCCTCGGCCCGCGTCCCGCCGGCAGAGCCCGCAGAGCCGCGCCGAGGCACCGCCCGCCCGCCGTGAGGGAGCGGCGGCACCGCCGGCCCCCTCCGCCCCTCCTCCGCCTCCTCCTCCGCCTCCTCCGCCCCTCCTCCCGCCGGAGCGAGCGAGCGAGATGGCGGCCGCTGGGGCTCTGGCGAAGCACGAGCAGATCCTAGTGCTCGATCCGCCCACCGACCTCAAATTCAAAGGTGAGGAGGGGGGAAGCCGGCGCGGCGGAGGGGAGAGGGGCGGCGGCGGCGGGGTGTCCCGTTCCGCCTGGGCGCCGGGCCGCCTCCGGGCGCCGCGTTCCCGCTGCCTGCCGCGGGCGGGCCGCGCTGCCGGGCGCTGCCCGCCCGCCGGGGGATGGGGGGCGCCGCCGAGCCGGCGAGCGGGATCGGCCGCCGCCATCTTGGGCTCCCGCGGGCTCCGCGGTGCCGGGCGGGATCGGCCGCCCCTGCCCGCCCCGCCCCGCCCGCCCCGCCGTGGCGCCGCTGCGCTCGCGGGCCCGGCCCCGAGCAGCGGCGCCCGGGGACGCGGTTTGCTCTCCGGTCCCTCTGGCAGCAGCGGGCAGGAGAGGCCCTGGCGCGGGCGGTGGAAGCCTTTCGGGGTTCCAGGCTTCACGAGGCTGCCCTAACGTCTGGCCTTGCCCCGCTTTTTCTCTCGGGCGTGCTGGGGCCCCGGTGTCCGCGCGGAGCCGGTGCGGCTTTGCACCGTCAGTGCCCGGCACCCGCGCCCTCGCCCCGCTGCGTCCCAGCCCGGCAAAGGGCTCCCCGCCCCTTCCCCAAAGCTGTCGCGTCTCAGGCAGGCTATCGGAACGTAACTCGGGAGCTCGCCTCTTTCCTGGGAGTGAGGGAAATGGAATGCGTGCCTTTCGGAAGTTTTATGTGTGTTGCGTGCCGGCCGCATGGCTGTGACTGCTGACGTGCTGCTGTCAAAATAGGTCCCAGCTAGCGCTGGTGTCGTGTGTGTCTGTGGTTTTCTCTCCTCATGAATTAGGTAGTTGTGAAAGGAAAGGCTCTGTCAGAAGTGAGTGATCGTTGAAAGGCAGGGGCATAAAGAAAAGTGTGTCAGAACATGTAGTTTTTGTGATGATATCTTATATCTGTAAGGGGCATTGAGAAAAATCTCAGAACCTTTCAGATTTGGAATCACCAGTATTAGGTTTTTTATTAAAAAAAAAAGTAGTTAATATTATGTGAAATAACATTGTAAATTGTTGTGGTTGGTGTCAGCACATGTACATGCCTAATCCTGCGCATTCTTCTGTTTTCCACTTTTAGTATGCTCATTTTTCATTGTTTTTAGAGGACAGAGTGGAATTTACGATGCTGTAAAAATCTTCTACGGACAGCTAGAACAAATGAATGTTTGTATTAAAAAGAACACTGTATTCCCCCAAAATAGCTTTGCTCTGGCCTAGCATTTAGATAAATTAGCAAACTATACTTGTTTTATTGATGCGTCAGATCAATTAAAACCCAACATCTGTCTAATTATGTGTATTAATTTCTCGATAGCTTCAGTTTAATTTTTTTTTTTTAAATTGCACTTTTTAAAAATTACACAGAGTCAAAACCGTTGCAGGAACTTGTGATTTTTCACTTTGGTTTTTGGGTATTAAAATGCTGCCTAAATTAAAATGCTGTGGTCAGAACAGGTTGATGCAAGAACAGGTTGGGGGAAAATGCATTATTTTAATTTTTTTTTTTTCAATTAAAAAAAGATACTGTGTCCGATTTCTAGCCTGCAAATGGTGAGATGTGTTTTAAGCTGGAACTACACAATATTGATGTGATATGAAAGAGTGTGTTGATAGAATAAATACTAGATTAGAAATTCTATCTGTGTGAAGCTGTTGTCAGTGATCTTTATTGTGCTGTGTGTTTATGTACTTAGAGCATGAAATGTGTATTCTTTAGGCATAAACTTTAGTTTCAGGCTAATGCATATATTAGGAAAATTTCTGTAGAGCAGACTAAGCAAAAACAAAATATGAAGCATAATGAGACTGCAGTACTCTGTTACTGTACTATTGTAGTAATATACTATAGAAAGTGCTATGAATTGAGAGAGCATTGAGTGCACTCTCAAGAAATATTTTCTACCTGTTTATTACTTAGAGGTGTTTAAAAAGGTTTGTGTGCCACAAACAAATGCAGTTCTAAAGTACTGTGTTGAAGAATACAATATTGACAGCAGTGAATTCTGAGTGTCACCTTTTAAAAAGTAATTGGTTAGTAAGAAAGAGAATGTATGACTCAGAATAAATATAGCATAGTGTAAGAAAAGCACAAAACTTTGTTAAAAGAATAAAGCGCTACATTTTTTCAGTGCTGTTCAAAGTTATTTTATTGGTACAGTCATCCATTTTATTATTACTAGTATCATTGATGCATATGTAACAGAGATCCAGTTTACATCTAAACATTTGAATTGAACAAATAATTTTGTTGGTTTTCTTGCCTCAGGAAGTTAAAATGGATTTGCTGACCTTTAGGGTAACAGTGAAATGTGATAGTGTGCCCCTTTACAAACAACTGTTTTATTAAAAGATATGTAGTACTTATCTTAACGAGTTGTTAACAAGGTTTTAAATTCATCATGACCTGATGAAACTGCTTTTTTTATTAATCTAACCTAATTTATCCTGTCAGCAAACATAAGGTCTGTAATACATTTATCCTTGAATTTTATTCAGCACAATTCAAGGGGAGTTCTAAGAACATGTCCTGTGGTAGCTAACATATTACATAGTTCCCTTGGTGTCCACGATGGCAATCCTGTTTTGATAGTGCTTGTAGTCCTAGAAATTTCAGTCATTAATAGTGTTCGGGTCATGGTTAATTCTCTCTGTCCCCCTTTGGTACGTGAGTTTCTTTGGATTCTGAAACAACCAAGAATATCTTAAGAAAACTCACAAAACAAATAAGTACTTCTCATAGTGTTGTGCAAATGTGACAAAGGGAAAAAGTGTACTTAAAAGTGATGAAACCAAGAGGCAGTTAATAAACTACATAATAGCAGGTTCAGAGCATGGAGCACTGAGAATTTGCCTCATGGCAAAATTCTGCTCTTGTTCCCAGGTTCTTCAGCCATATTGCTCCTGCAGGTTGGCTTTCTTTTGTATTCTAATGTGTTTTGTTTAGCTTCCCAAATCAGAAGTTGTTGGAGTTTACTTAGGACTGGATAGGAAGAATTGAAACACAAGACACTTAAAAGCAACCCATTCGGAAGATGGAACATCCTCTTACTGGTGTCTTCTTCACGTGACTCATACATGTAATCATTGTTGGTAGCTCTAGTTCAGTGAAGATTATTGGAATCTGGAGTTGGCGCCCTGTGAATAAATACGTTTTTAAATTTTTTTTCCTCTGTAAGCAGTTGTGTAGTTTAATAGCAACATTTGAAGTTTTGAGTTCAAAAATTTGTAGCACTTTTATGGAAACTCATTCTTCCTTAACCCAAAGAAGCCAGTTTTGCAATTTTAAGTAACATGGATTTAAATTGGTCTTGGATTATGGTAGTTTTTTTTAAAAAAAAGTTTAAAAGCCTTCTCCAGATGTTTAAATCAGTCATAAGACATGCTTCTGCAACACCTAATTGAAAATCAACACTAGTCGATTTGATGAGCTTTGGAAGATTAGCAGACAGTGTTCAGAATTTGAATTTCATGTGATTTAGTGGTGTCTGACTAGCAATGCAAAATTATAAAAATACCTGAATATTTTAAATTGATATTTTTTTATTGATGTTCTTGCTTACAAGTGCGTGAAGTGCAGTTATGTTACCTATGTAAACATCTCAAAATAATGAGCTACTCTTTTCCCTTAGCAGTCTAAAATAAAATTTGGAATGTGTCTGTGTGCAGTGAATTTTCTTTTTGATGTGTTGAGTTACTAGGAGAGATCAGCGTGACAGAATATTTGATTTCTGATTGTTGATCTGCATCATAGTCTGGAATTGTCAGTGTATAAAATCAGCTATCAGCTGGTGTGTGTTCAAATGACTTTTCATGGGAGGTAGAGAGCACTTCACTCAAGTATTGTGGCTTATTTTGAAATGCAGATTTCAACAACCTTTTAAATAATACAAAAGTATTGCTGTAGATTATTTTGTAATCATTACATTGCTATTGGTAATGCTGAAAGCCATGGGATATGTGTTGCTGCAAATCGAGAAGGTGGAATTTAAAGGCAAAAATAGCGCAATGTTAAATGCATCCCCTGCCCTCAAGGTCTGTTGCCAGAATTGGCCTAGGATGCCTTTTGGTGTAGGCAGAGTTTGAAGTCCTCAAATGTGATCTCACTGCCTTACTTGTGTGTGTCTTGATTATGTCAAATTTTATGCCTGTTTTCACTCTCTTCAAAGGACCAGTAAATTTGTAATGTCCCAATTTTCTAAGACAGGTTAGAAAAAAAAGGTGATTGGGATGTCAGTTTTCTGCTATCTTCATTCAGGAGCATTTTTGAAACTAAAGAGTGGGAGTGTAGAGGGGGAAAACTGGTTGTAAGTGATTACTAATATAGTTGTGACTTTCTGATGCTTTGAAATGGTTCCATTTAAGTTAGTATTTTTACTGGCTGAGAATTGCATAATGGCAATAAAATGACTCAGTATCCAATATGTAGTCTTTTTTCTTTTAAATACAAAAATGATTCTTGTATTGACATTGTTTGCTCTTCCTATACGTATACTTCTATCCATTGTTTCATAGCTCAAATGTAGTATTTGTTAATATTTTAGTTTCTTTATATTATACGTATTAATGAAAATTGAAGCACAGGATGATTTGTGGGAATGTGTTGAGGAAGAAAAAGAAAGACAATGTTTTTTACCTGGTGTTGCTTATTAGGTGGTATTATGTTACACAATCATCTCTACCACTGTACTAGACTGCATTTAAAACTGCCTCGTAAAAAGGGAATTATATTGATCTGTGAAGTCAGGTGTGTTATAGTGTAAGATTATATTTTGGCAGAACTAGTTTGTAATTTGTTTTAAGATTCAGTAATGGAATATTTTCCTTGGTGACAGAGGTATACAGTAGCAAAGATTGAGAAGTTTTGTCCTTTACCTGAGGACAAAAGACCTTAGGGCTCTTTTTTGCTTAATATTGCTGTTGCTTCACTAAACAGTGAAACACTATCCAAACCTCACATCTTGTCCTTCTAGTGTGTACCAATGATTGGTATAAAAAGCTTCACCTTTG